CAACCATTTTCTCATTCACAGACATCTAGTGTGTCTATTTCATGAATTCAGAGCTATGAGAACAGAGAAGAGTAGAGAACAGAAGTTTTTGCAAAACTCCAAAAACGTACCTCCTCAATTCACTGCAGTTTCCAGCTAAAATGACCACTAGTGGCAGTAAAACAATAACCAATTTTATTCGTTTTCATACAGATTATCCATTAATAAATACATTTTCATGCGGTTTATTGCACAATAGTATGTTAAACACTTTTACCAAAGTGCATGATTTGTAATAATACATTTTGAAATTTCACATTTGCATTACATAACCAGCTCCATTTGATTGGCTTTTCTGATTAAGTAAAATTGCTCTGTAGTTCACCTGGTACTCAAAATACAAGTCATGTCAAAAGAGCTCAAACACTTATAGAAGCGAGCTGAAATGACATTGTTGCTTAAGCAAATAAGTTTTTTATCTCAAGTTTGCTTTTGTTAATACTATTGGTTACATTTAGGGTAGGGTTCAATGTAGGCGCTACGTCATTTTTATACGCAAAAGAGCATTAACCGGACATTTTACTTTGAAAGTGTTGCGAAAATGCTCAAGCAGCAACATAATATCATTTTGTAGAAATGTTGCCACAAGAACGTTTTTTTACAATGAGCTTGGGTTGGAACAGAAGTACATTGGCTCCTCAGTGAGAGACTGAGAGGGTCTATAAGGGACAGTCATGGTGTCCTCCAGCATCAGATCCTCAATCCACTCCAGCCTCCACGGCGATATCTCCATGACAACCGCAGAACAAGAGAATGCAAATGAGCCTAATACCAAGGTGTTCTGGGAGAAAAGGTCACACGTAAAACCACTTCCATTCTCTGATTTCCATTTCATTCAGCTGTTTAAACACAGACTGTCCCCCACATACAATCAAACTGCCACTAAACAATGGAATAAAGGAACTCAAAGGATCACATACAATGAGAAACAGATAAGTGTGAGTGTTGACAAAGATAAGAAATAGTCCTTTAATGAGAATATGGGATATACACGCAGTTCCTGCTGGTCCAGCAGCACAATAAATCGATCGTTAAAAGACGGCATCAGCTGAACTCCAGAGATTATTACAGCTACTTGTATTACTCCCATGACTGCAGCTCAACTTTAAATTACAGACTGAAAGTGAGCTTTGCAGCCAAAACAGGAAGAAACAGTCAGTTACCATCACACAAAGTTGCTAAGGTGACAAGCCATCAAAGGAAGCCATCAAAGGAAATCTACACTGTACTAAAACTCACTCTAGATCAGTTACAGTTACTGTAGCTTCCTACCACAACTAGACTTGTGCCGGTATTCGGTAATGCGATATATCACGGTAATGAATATGCACGATATTGTTATTGTGGGCACTTCTAAATACCGTGAATAATTATATATTACAAATTATTTGAATGCATTTTAAGAATACTTTTCCCATCAACTG